GGTGAAATTTCATCACTTAGTTTGTTTTGGAAAGCAAAGGTAGTGAAGGACTTCATTTTGTTGTAACGTCTTGAAACACCGATGAGAACATTCTGAGAAGGCTGTTCATTTCAAGTTCAGTTTTCTGTACATTCATATTAAAATTCTGTTATTAAAAATTACTCAGGTGCCTGAAGAATATCTGACAAACGTGCAAATTCGTGACAAGCTGCCGAACATTAAGTCGAACAAACTTTCTGAGGATGTGCTTTTCTACCTCTTCTATAACTGTCCTGGTGAATTCTACCAAGTGGCTGCTGCTTCTGAGTTGTGAGTTTCTTTTAGTAGCCCTTCTTACCGTTAATCTTCTTCTCTTTAATTCCATAATTTACGAAGTGTATTTGCTCATTCTTCTAATTCTACATATTGAAGATTGTCAATTATAGGTACAGTAGAGATTGGCGGTTTCATAAATCACAGAGGGTTTGGCTTACTCGGTCACAATACGGAGGTGTGAAGGAACAGACAGTAACATACGAAAAAGGCTCGTACAACGTTTTTGACCCAGTTCAGTGGCGAAAGGTTAGTGTTAACAACACAGTTGATTTTGAGACCCTCTTCATGTGTTTTCGGTGTTGAAAGTTAAAAAATTTTTTAAATAACTTGTAGTTGTAGTTTAGAAGTTTAACGTTGTACGAGTATAGTTCCTTTCCTCTATGTGACGCAAGCCTCTTCAAAAGTTCAGTTTATAATCTTTTGTGCTTTTTAGGGTCGAAAATTTCTAACTTTTAAAAATTTTTGTGTATTTTTAAATTTTATTTAGATTCCAAAAGATATGACGCTGGAATACAAAGAACTAGAAGAACGTCCAAAATTACCTCAGCAGCTTCAGCAGTCGGGACAGCAGGCTGGCCAATCGACTTCTGTTAGCTCATCTCAAAATGGCTCCTAATTGCAGTTCGCGTTTTAGTGTCGGTATACTTGTCTAACAACTGCGAGGTGAATTAACCAACGTCGAGTCTAATGCGTCGCTAATATCTAATACTTCACTGAATGTCCCATATCTGTATTATTCGAGCGTCATATTCTCGGTATTTTTGTTGTATGGGTCATCCCAATAAATGCTTAAAAATTGAGTTCCGATATAATCTTGAGTTTCTTTCACTCGTTTTTGACATTTAATGTTGGTCCTGGTGTGGAAAGGAGAGAGTTCCGTTGTGTATGAAGTTCTGTGTTTGGGAAGAATTCACAGTTTTATCGTTTTATTTTTGTCAACAAATCTTATGCTGTGAGGATAAGTAATTTGCTTCGGTGTTTGCAGCGTTTGGAACGCTTGCATTGTCCAGATGGCAAAATTACAAGAGTTCATGGAGTGATGACGCCTGGCTGTACATTACGTCTTTCCTTACATTCTCTTCAGTGTGCGGAGTCAGGTTTTTGTTTGTCAAGAAGCAGGACTATGACTGTTCAGTAGCGATGTGGGAGCGGTGGTGTTAAAGTTTGCACATGTTTATATTAATTTTGTGACGAGCTTCTTGACGGAAACTAAGACGGTTAGAGTGTAGGTTTTAAATGGGCCATTGATATTTATTCGCTTATTCAGATTTTTTGAAGTAGTGATTACTAAATCATATTACCTCTTTGCGTTTTTCTGCCATTTCACCCATCTACTAAAGATAGGTTGTTCAGAACCTCTTGGGTTGTGACTCCTGAAATAACTTTAGCTATCACCAGTATTTACTTGGGAAAAATGGGACTGAAACATGAGTGGGTAGTACTGAATATTTTAAAAAGTGGTATTATGGGTAAGTAAGAGGGAGATACTGCTATTCCTTTCTCGTTATTAGCATAATTCTTGTTTTAATTAACGAAATTTTAACTGATGAATCTCGGAATCGAATGCCTAAGGGTGTAAAACTTACCCTGCATATATGTTGCTTAAACGCCTTCCATTAATATTTTTATATACTAACGTTTTATAACTAGTCTTTTACTCCGTTCGACTTGATTTGTATTATTTTCTGTACTAAACAAGATATAAGACTGTAGAATAATTCCCCAAGTAGTAAAATCTAACTGTAATGAAAAATACTAACATATATTAGCGTTTATAACCACCAATCATCTAGCCGTAATGACGTCTTATCTTTTCAATATAATTAGATGACAAATTGAAACCGGTTTTTTTGGTAGTACTTCAAGTACTAAATATATCGGTAAAAACAACTTCCTTCTAGCCGCATTGACGTAATAACCCCAAAGAAGGATTCTTACATTCAAAAAAACCAATTTTCTACGCCGTTTTATTCTCAGGGTATCCTCGTACGTCCCGGTTCTGAGGACCAGTAATGTAATGCACGGGTAAGTCTTCCTCACCTTGTCTTCTTCATTCTTATCTTCGCGTTTCTCCACCATTTATCTGCCTGTTGACTGAGAACTCTTTAAAAAGTCTTCATGCCGTTCACTATGCGTCCCGTTTGGATTTTCGTTAGTCTGTTTCTTAGCTAAAAGCAGACAGGAACGCTGTAAAAGACAATGTGTTGACTATGTGAAAAGTTGCTTTTTCAGCTGTATCGTAAATCTAGTTTTGTACAACCCCAGCTGTACGACAACCTCAGCTGCCGTTTCAGTCGGATACTTCCAAGATTTTTTTTTCTCACTTAACATGTGTTAAATTATTTGACACTAATCCCATAAAGCTTGTCAGTGTAAAATGTGTAAAAGAAGTTGTTTTTACCCATATATTAAGTACTTGAAGTACTACCAAAAAAACCGGTTTCAATTTATCATCTAATTATATTGAAAAGATAAGACGTCATTACGGCTAGATGATTGCTGGTTATGAACGCTAATATATGTTATTATTTTTCATTACAGTTAGATTTTACTATTTTTGGATTATTCTGCAGTCTTACATCTTGTTTAGTACAGAAAATAATACAAATAAAGTCAAACGGAGTAAAAGACTAGTTATAAAATGTATATAAAAATATTAATGGAAGGGGTTTAAGCAACATATATGCAGGGTAAATTTTACACCCTTAGGCATTTGATTTCTAGATTCAACACTTAAATTCCATCAATTAAACTAAGAATTATGCTAATAACGAGAAAGAAATAGCAGTATCTTAACCAGTAAATGTTTCTACTGTAGGTGTTGCTGAGGAAGTTTTAGCCTGCTCCGTTGGAGTATTTGACTTTTAAATCCCGCCTGCTGCTCCAACTGCTACTGGAAGTATGCCAAGTAATTTTAGCGGTTTCGACATTTAATCTTCTGGAGCTCAGGGTCTTCAAGAAAAAATGATTAATAAAACGAAGAAACATTTATTTATCATTCATCATACACTCATTATAGTTATTGTCATTCGCATTCAAATGTTGCTTTATTTGAATCACTTTTAGAAACTAATGCTCATTTACTCAGGTATACTTGGGACTTTTTTCAATTGGGTTACTGATTATCTGTTTATAAGTTTCCAATTGCTGTCCTGCCATTCTAGCGCGACAGGGAAACATGCG